CGGGACAGCCTGGGAAAAGTCAAAAAGGAAAGAAAAACATGAGGAATGCTTCCCGTCGATGAGAGAAGGGTTATGGCTAGAAGCCGCCACCCCCCTCTCTCCCCCCCTCCCCCCCCCACACACACAGCGGCTTCCCAAGAAGGCGGTGTTCCTAGCCTCAATGTGATTTGCTTGGCGGTTTCGCTGGCCAAAGTGGGTCTGTCGTGGCAGGCAATGCGCCTAGCAGTTTTCACAGCCCTCTTCAAGGTTGCCTAACGCAGCCTCAGAAAGGCTCGTCGTCATAGATTGGACCGGCCGGTGGCGAGCGCATAGATCACATAGATCATATAAAAAGGGTGCCAATGCTGGCTTTGTCGGCGTCCTCCATAAATCTCTTTCACTCACCTCATCGGGGTATCATCAAGGCTACCGTGGTGATTTGCGGCGACTGAGCATTCGCTCCCGCGTTCCAAACCTTATGCCTGGCATGTGGTATCACATCTCCAACGCCAACGAGTACCTCGTGGTCACTGGCGCTGGCGTCGACGATGTACGGATCGTCAAGAAAGCCTTCGTCTACCCATGGCAGCGCGTCGCTCGCATCTCCGTCTCGCCCTTTGACTTCTCCCTCAACATGCAGGCCATGACCATTGAGAAGCTCCAATTCGCCCTGCCTGCCGTCTTCACCATTGGCCCAGACAACAAGCCTGAAGCTCTCAAGAAGTATGCGTTGCTCCTCAGCGGGAACCCAGATGGCACCCCTTCCGCGGGCAAGAAACCGGGCCAGGCCATTGTGCCGACCCAGCGAGGCCATGTTCAAGACATCGTCAAAGGCATCATCGAAGGTGAAACCCGGGTCATCGTCTCGAGCATGACCATGGAGGAAATTTTCAAGGAACGACAGGTCTTTAAGCAGAAGGTATCCCTTCGATCGGAACCCAATTCACGAGCACGGGACGCGGCACTAACTGGACTGGCAGGTCATTGAGAATGTCCAAAATGAATTGGACCAGTTTGGCCTGCGAATCTACAATGCCAACGTCAAGGAACTTCAAGACACCCCGGGCTCCG